ATTAAAATGCCAAAGCCACTAATATTCTTTGTATGCTGTTTATCTTTTATCACATAATAAATGTACCCTACAAGAATGACCATTAAGGCTCGGCACCTGTGGCTCAAGTGGCTAAGGTGCCAGCCATATACACCTAAGGTGGCGGGTTCAAATCTAGCCCGGGCCCCCAAACAACAATGATGGCTGCATCCAAAAAAAAATAGCCGGGCATTGTGGTGGGTGCCTGTGGTCCCAAGCTACTTGGGAGGCTGAGGCAGGAGACTCGCTTGAGCCCAGGAGTTGGAGGTTGCTGTGAGGTTTGATGCCACAGCACTCTACCCAGGGGGATAGCTTGAGGCTCTGTCTCAAAAGAAAAAAACTTCCTCACTTACCAGCAAGACCTCACAGAAGATCTCCTTCTGCAGACAGACCCAGAGAAGGCAGGTCCCTATAGTCACACACAGCCCCACCTGAGGCCCTGGCCTCTGCCACTGGTACATCTGCACCCTCAGTCCACCTGTGACTTCCAGGTGTCTCTGTGTCCCTGCCCCTTCAAGCAGACTCTGGTATTCCTGGCCAATCTTAATAATAAGTATATAGCTAAGCCAACAAAACCCTTTTTTTGTCTGATCACAAGTCAATATTTAGAAAATAAACATGTGCAAAAAGAAAAACACAGCTTGTTAGAGCCTGGTGTGTATCAGGGACAGACCCACCAGGGCTCAGAGAACTGCTGTCCTGGTAGCCAGGCACACAGCCTCACCACTCTTGGGCTGAGGCCGGCGTGACTCACCCCAGGCTCGCCCTCCCTGTCCTGCCCATCTTCATCTTGCTCTTTATGCTCCGTTTGGCATAGGCCATCCCTGGCCCCTTGCTTTGCTGCATGCTTAGAACAGCTTTCTCTTTTGGGGTCCCTGGGGGTAAGTGGATCCTCTGCCTGTTTGTCACTGCCTACGGGCAGTCCAGCAGGGCACCCGCCTGCCCTTCCTCCCCTCTCCTCCCTCCAGGTGCTCTCGGCGGTGGACCTTCTGGTGCTGGATTAGGGTAGACAGCTGGCTGCAGGCCCTCCCGCACGCTCGGCACCTGTATGGCCGCTCGCCACTGTGGAGCCGGTAGTGCTCATTCAGTGTGTAGCTCCTGCGGAAAGCCTTGCCACACTCCGTGCACATGAAGGGCTTCTCTTTAGTGTGGGTCTTCTGGTGCAGAGTGAGGTTTGATTTGCGGCTAAAAGCCTTGCCGCATTCCAAGCAGGCAAACGGCTTCTCGCCGGTGTGGAGCCGCTGGTGCAGCAGGAGCAGGGAGTTGTGCCTGAATGGCCTCTGGCACACAGTGCATTCGTGGGTCTTGTCCCCGGTGTGGGCCTTAGGTGCCGCCACGGGCAAGGGGCTCACCCCGCGGCCGTCCTGCAGGCTCTCCTCGGCATGCAGCCTACGATGCTTCAGGAGCGAGGCCCCCCGGATGAAACACTGGCCACAGCGACGGCAGCTGTAGGGACGCTCCCCACTGTGGATTCGCCGGTGCTCGTTGAGGGTGAAGCGGCGGCAGAAGGCCTTGCCGCACTCACCGCACTCGTAGGCCTTCTCCCCGGTGTGGAACTTTTGGTGCTGCAGGAGCCGCGAGCTGCGGCTGAAGGCCTTGCCGCACTCGCTGCAGGCGTAGGGCCGCTCCTGGGTGTGTACCCGGCTGTGGGACGCCAGCTGTGCACTCTGCCGGAAGGCCTTGCCGCACTCACTGCACTGAAAGGGCTTCTCCTCAGTGTGGATCAGCTGGTGCCGCAGCAGGATGGAGCTCTGTGTGAAAGCCTTGCCGCACTCGGTGCACTGGAAGGGCTTGGCCCCCGTGTGAATCACGCGGTGTCGTAGCAGCAGCGACTGATACCTAAACACCTTGCCACACTCGCACCTGTAGCCCCTCTGTGCACTGGCGGCTGAGCTCCCGGCAGGCGGGTGACCCCACTCTTCTTGCAGAGACGCGGGTGAGGTGCTTAGCTCCCCTGCCTGAGCTCTGGGCAGGAGGCGTCGCTTATCTGACCTGTCCTCAGGACTGCCATCCGGGCTGGGTAGCTTGGGGGCCCTCTGGGAGAGGCAGCCCCAAGCCCTGCCCGACAGTCCAGCTTGCTTAGAGATGGCCCTCCTCATGGAATTCTCTGCCATGCCATACTCCATCCCAGAATCTGATATAATAAACAGAAAACAAAGGATGGTCCAGCCTTCACGCTCACAACAAAGGCTCTCTTACTTCAAGACAATCTTTTCTTTTTCTAAGTCTTTTCTCTCTAGCTTCAGGGACATGTGAATGACTAAAATCATATATACTCGAGGTGTACAATACACATCTATACTCTGAAATGATCAAGTAAAGTAAAAACAGAAGCTTTATGTCAGAAATATAGGACGGTTTGAGAAATTCTTGCAAGATGTTTTAAAATCATGGCTCACCTGGGTAGCGCCTGTGGATCAAAGAAGTAGGGCACTGGCCCCATATACGGGAGGTAGCAGGTTCAAACCCGGCCCCAGCAAAAAACCGCAAAAAAAAAA